ACACATACACAAGAGTACACACAAACACAGACACGTAAGCGAACATACATACACATACACACACACACACACACACACATACACACACTCACGACATACACACACACATACACACACATACACACACACACACACACACACACACACACACACAATCTAACAACAGCAATATAGCACAAAACATAACCAGAAGCACACGCAAGACATTTATCATCAGATTATCGCTCATTTTGACAGAGATCTCAAGCGATCCATGTAAGCTCATGACAAGCGGTTCTGTTCTAATCCTCAGGGAGATCAATTTCTGCAGAGGCGTACTGAAGGCACAGTCACATCTGCCACCACTCTACAACTACCAAGGTTCCCACGTTTCACCGATATGCTGTCTGCCCCTGTTATGTTATGAAACACACTTGACTTCCTGCCAACGTAATCTGGCTATTCAAATCTTTCCAAGCGTTTCGGATGATTTTTTAAAAGAGAAGAATACAATAAACGAAATGATAGAGCGATAAACTGAACCGTTTTTCTTTCGGGTCGTCCTTGATTTTAGTCTGATCGTTTTTGCAGTTGAAACTGGGGGGGATGGGAGATTTTAGGAGTATTTCTTATTCTGTTGTTGTTGGGTTTTTTCCGTGAGTCTGTTATAGTTGATAGTTCGTTCTTTTGTCATGGTCATATCTGTAAATAATGGTCCATGATTTCCAAAGTTATTCTATTGGAGATTTAACCAATTTGTGAAATTATCACTATCATCATCATCACCGATATTGAGGGATATTTTTGTAACCCATCCAAACGACTACTGAAACTTGAAACTGTATTGGGCTTTAATAGTCTGATCTTACCACACTTTATTTACTTATGTATGTATTTATTTTTCATTCATTCATTTTTATGAGAGTATTACGCCAACATTATTATCATGATCATTATCGTTGAAGTAAAAAATGCAGTGGAAAGAACAGTCTTGAAAATTTTTCAGTCAGTTAAATGTAAATAATGAAAACATTACTTTTTATCGAAACGGTTTAAGTGCCTCCTCGAAGGCTTCCTCCCACTTTTCATCAATTTAAACGACACTTCAACGATTCCCTTGGGAAAGTTTGCTTCGCATTGGCAATGTTTATACCAGGGTCTAAGGGTCTATAAAAATGAAGAAGAAAAGGAAAGACCAAAAAAAAATTAAACCACGAAGAAAAGACACAATAGATAGAAAAGCTCTTGTATGCATGCGATCTCCCTCTGTCGACACACAGATCAACCGTCGTGTGCAAGCCACCTTCAATACAACTTGAACTTCTCAGCAACCTTCTTGGTCTTCAATTATGAATGCGCTACAGCTGAGAGGACGAGGACAACTGATTACAAGGGTTTTTTTTCCTCCTTCTGCCTCTTGAGTTTCTCACGAACATTTGCGAACCAACTGACATAAGAAGTAAAACTCTGCTGTTCTTTGAGTTATTGAACCTCTACCGAGTAGGTTTGTGTAGCACGTCGTTACATCCCGGTAGGCAGTTAAGGATAAATAATTAATTGATTAAAATTCTCAGAACTCGGAGCAGGAGAGAGAAGTGATGAGGAAATCTACTAGTTGGAAGTGCGTGCAATCAGATTCTTCTCGGGGGGTTTTGTTTGTTTGTTGATAATTTGTTTTTTGGGGGTTTTTTTTAAGGGGGTGGGTAACTCTTAAAGTACTCACACGCAATGAGCACATAGTAGAGGTGGGAGGGGGGGGGTAGGGACAGAAGAGGGTGGGGGAGGGGGGAGGGGGGAGGGGGGAGCATGAGAGAGTGGGAGAACGGAAAACACATACATACATGAAGACAGACAGACAAACACACAGACAGGCAAACAGACACACAAACAGACAGAAAGACAAACACACAGACAGCCAGACAGACAGACACGCAGACGGAGGTAGAGCAAAGAGACAGATATGAATAATATAAAGATTATAAAGACATGGAAACAGACATGAAAAGTGTCACACACACACACAAAAAGAAGGCAATGAGAAAAAAAGGACGTGTACGTGGAGATTGGTAATAAAGAATAGAGAATGACATTAGGTCTGTTTTTACACAACTAACAAAACATCTCTGGTGCTCTTCTTTCTAGATCCTCGCCCATTTGACGCGGCCAGGTCAAAACCATTTGCGAGGCAGTGTGTGGTGAAATCAATTGCTCGTCAAAATAATCAAAGTGAAGAAACTGGCATTATCCCGCTGGTTTGTGAATTTTTATCGAATTTTCGTGTTGTTGTTTTTTATGCTGTTTTGCTCAACACTTTTCATGCTCTTTAAAAAAGGCATTTTCGTGTTGATTTTACTAAAAACGTTGCTTAAAGGCACAAAAAATGTACATTTTCAGTTTTCACGGACTCTCAAGCTAAGAACTCATCTTCGGTGACCATATTCTCACTAGTTTTAGCTCTGAAACGAAGTGACCCTCACCTACTTAATTCGCGAATTCTATTCAAGATAATGGGATGGAGTTTTTACATCCAAAGAAAGACAAATGAACAAGCTTTAAGATGATAGCAACAACTCTGCAGGCCCAAAATTGACGACAGCCTGATTCAACAGTGTTGCTCCACATTTAAGAAAACGTCCTTCACTTTGATCAAAATAGGAGAATTATATGACGTAGTATACGAACATAAGGTCAAATTGTAATTAGCTCTCCTTAACCTTTAGAGAATGCACAAGAAAAGAACTTTAAAAAGAGCTGATGGTGCAATTCAGAGATAGAGATTGGCAATTATCGAGAAAAAAACAAACAGAAGGTAGAGCGATCGAGAACAAGAGAAAGAGGGAAAGAGAGAGAGAGAGAGAGAGAGAGAGAGAGAGAGAGAGAGAGAGAGAGAGAGAGAAGAGAGAGAGAGAGAGAGGAGGGAGAGAAAGAGAAAGAGAGAGAGAGAGAGAGAGAGAGAGAGAGAGAGAGAGAGAAGGGATGGGGGATCAGCCTTGAATTATTATTGGAACATAGTTATTCAGCTGTTTTATCAGTCCATAGGTATAAGTATTTCGAAAATGGAGAAACACACACACACACACACACACACACACACACACACACACACACACACACACACACACACACACACACACACACATACCACTCATTCAATTCGGTTTCCTTTCTTTCTCAAAGATGTGATATGGCTATTTTTTTAGAGTAGGACACTCCTAATTTTCTAAAATGCTGCACATATGGCTGCCTAACAGCATACTCTCCTAGGGTTTCAAGCCACCCATGGATCTTTAACTGTGCAACGTGCACACGGAACCTTCGAAATTTGTATGTCCTTACCCGAGAAGACTAGGCGCTCGATCTAACCTACCTCAGGACTAGGAGTATTTCAGTCTTTCTACTGGGATATTGTATACCCCTCAGCCCGGAACGGTCCTGAATTGATGGGTCGAAGACCTCCCCCTATAAGCTTTAGGTTTTTGTAGATTTGATGGGTAGAGGGGTTAAATAATTGTACATTTTCTAAAAGGCTGGAACGAAGTGGTAAATTAAAAAAAAACAGAATCCACACTCACCGCACGTTGGGCTGCTCACCGCTCCCATTCTCCTTTGGCTTTTCCTTCAACCATGCTTCTTTCTCGTTGCTGGTTCTTATATCCATCGTGACAAGTTGTATTTCCTTTCTGGCGGTGCAACTATGCCTTCAAAATCACGCCAAGTTTTACTTGTGAATTAGTTTTTACACCAGAGTTGCTTCCTTCAGCTTCCAAATCACACAAATCCTTTTACACTAGACGTAATTTAAATTGTATGATCTATAGTGTGCACAGTTGCTTTGCAACTTTGATAACAAAGTGAGAAATCACACTCAGTGTCTAAGAAACTTAAACGCCCTGTAGATGATCCATGAAGATAAAAATAATTTATTACTTGAGTTATAGTGGTAGATCATAATTTATGCTGCGAGTGAAAATGTCAAGTAGTAATTATGTGTTTCAACGAGTGATTACAAATGGCAACTTCACAATTAGGATAAATCAAGGTCTACACCACAACGAGTGCGATAAATTTGTTATATCATACTGTCATCAGATGACGAAATAGATCCGGATCAGCAAAGTTCAAATGACCATTTCAATGTTTAAGAGGCCCCACATAAAAGTGACTCACATAAAATATAATTTTCGTGCCCATCGGAGGGAGAGTGCAGATTAGAAAAAAAAAAGATTATTTCACTTATTTTTTAGCCACCTAATTACATGCTATCCGTATGTCTCCCTCCGGGAAAGAAAACCTCACCAAACATAACAATAACAGCGTAAACATGAGCAAAACAAACACCCCCGAAAAAAAACCTCCCGATTAAAAAGATAGAAGATTACGAAGTTGCAAGTGGTCGTTAGAATAGAGATGACTTTAACTTTGATGTTAAACTTTGAAAGCAAAAGAAACCAAAAGGAGTCGTTTGCTAAAATGAACTTGTGCATTGTATCAGAGCACATCACTGCACTTAGACGTATTCATGGTTCACTGTTATAAAATTATGGTGTTCACCTTCAACTCAATTTCGAACCGAATTAATGACAACGAAGAAAGACTGCTCGCAATCTCGACTGTATAGTCGAGATTGCGAGCAGTATTAATGACAACATAGTCGAGAGTGTGAGCAGTCTTTCTTCATTGTCATTGAGACAAGGAGACTGGACTAGTGTTTTGCATTCCATCTGGGCGCCCATGATCAGCGCGCTCACTGCGAAGTTTTTTAATAGACAGCAAAGAGCGGCAGCCGTAACATTCCACTTTCGAAGAAGATCGTAATTCAATTGTATATTTGCTTGGAGAAGGTTATGAGGCAAATATAGTGCGTAGAGTGAGTTACGCAATTTACAGCGCGTGAAATATCAAGTTTCTATATTTCGCATGTGAAATGTAAGGGTATAATATGTCATCGGAACTGCTATGCTAAAATAACCCCATGCTGGATACATAATATTCATAATACGTATGAATAGTCTAAAGCAATGACTGACTACAACAATAGCATTCGAGAATATGCCACCCACATCACCACAGATTCGGAAGTCGAACAAGTTTTTCTTTGAGCAAGGATTTATAGTTTTTCATGTCTTTCGTGGGGGGGGGGGGGGTTCTCCTCTGATTGAGTTATTTAATTTGTTATGTTGCATAGCACTGGTTTTATGTTTATGTTGTTTGTTTGGGGTGTTGTTGTTTTTTTTTTTCAGAATGCATATTTTGTTTTTTCTGAAGGAGGTCCTGTTTATTTAATTTTACTATTTTTTTATACTTGTCTTATGAAAACAAATACTTTTTTCCTAACTAGCTGAATACATTTTTAAAGAAATAAAAATCTCTATTGAAATATCTCGGTGGGGGGTTCGACTTGTCATTTGAGATTAAATTTCGTCAATGTTTTTTAATCTTTTGAAACATTGTTGGGGGAAAAGAAGAGAGAGAAATATCAGTTCAGTTTAATCACGTAGAGCAGAGGGGGAAGGGGGGGGGGGTAGGAGTCGTTGAACTTGTTTTGTCTAAGTTTCTCAGGTTGTTTTGAACATTCGAAGAAACCTGCCTTTTTTGTTTTTTTATTGGGGGTTTGGGTTTTATGTTTTGTTATTGTTTTCTTTTCCTTTTTTTCCATTAACTGTTTCAAATGTTTGTCTGCCTCGGAAGAGGTCGAAAGTGCAAATTCGCGCGTATGCGCAAGCGTGCATGTATGTGTGTGTGTGTGTGTGTGTGTGTGTGTGTGTGTGTGTGTGTGTGTGTGTGTGTGTGTGTGTGTGTGTGTTTGTGCTTGTGTACTTGTATGTATGTGTGTGAGTATGTATGCGTGTGTATGTATGTGTGTGTGAGTGAAACGTGTGTTGGTGTTTGAGTGTCTGTGCATGTGTGTGTGAGGAAGAGAGAAAGAGAGAGAGAGGGGGGGGGGAGAAAGAGAAAGAAAGAGATAGACAGAGAGACAGATTGAAAGAGATGGGGGAGGAGGAAGAGAGATGTTTACGTTGGATTAGATATCGTCTCCCGCCGCTTAGAGAGGAGCTTAAACCCAGCTGTTGTTTGGGTGCTCATTTTATACGTGCAGGCGAAATTGTTAAATTTTTAACTCTAAGAGGTCGGCACGTAAACTGACACACTTGTTTTCCTCATTTATTATAAATAATATGTGCTTGCCTGTACAACAAATATTTCCTTACATCAAAGTTTAATTCTTTTTTAACATGGTGAATAACAATACAAGTATGTAATCTGAAATTTGTCTTTTTGACTATAAAAATACTTACATATATATATTTATGCATATTTTCTACTAAGCTTGTTGCAGCAAAAAAGGGATAAGATTACGACTTGTAAGAGTTAAAATAAAATAATAATTTCTTTTCACTCATTCGAGGAGCATGACGTTTCTGTCTGAGTTTGGAAACCAGCCTGTCTGCTTGCAACAAGGATTACAAATAAATATAATATCATATAACAGAAATATCGGGGATAAGTTGTCACCGACAAAAAGACATAAGACCAACCTTTTAATTTTGATTTCATTATCCAATTCATGATCACAGAAATTGAAGTGAAATAGTGCCCATGCATGGAAGTCTGTTTCGTATAAAGAACTGATGTATTTAAGAAACAAAACGTTCCTTTTAGTGGTGACTACCTCTCCTCACCCCCTCTCCCCCCAAAAAGAATAGCCCGAATAAAAAGTCAAAAACAGTTATGTTTAAGTGAAAACTTTAAAGGACTCGTCACAAAGTTGAATAATTGGTTGCTCGGATTTTACACAAATAATTTAAAGCATAAGATTCCCCCTTACTTTTATTAATTGATATGGTCAGTAACGCACACATGTGTAGCTTCAAAATCTGGTCTCTCTATGCAAAGAGAGTAGGAAAGCGGTATCCACCCCGACCACAACAGAAAGACAGAGCTAGAGCAGCAAGACAAACTTTCCGACGCGGGATCATGTCTTCCGCTCTACTTTACCTCCTCCCAGAAATTTATTAGTGGGGAAACATTCCTCAATGGAATTTTAAAACTTACACCTAGCTTTGTAGAGGAGCGCAACGATTCTCCCTTTTCGACTTGACACAGAATACTATGGTTCAACAGAGGTCATTTTGGACCTCACAAATTGTGAAAACAGAGTAAAGCCGCAACACATGCACGAATCAGTGGACGCAAGTCAGTCGTCACCCCTCGCCTCGTGCCTCTGCGCGGGGTTATCTTTAAAAACGGATACAGAAGTTCACACCTGGGATATCCGTTCATTTGGGATGCCCCCCGTTTTGTCTGGTCAGTTGGCACAGGGTGTAAACTTTTATTTGTTTGTTTGTTTGTTTTGTTGGTTTGTTGGGGGGGTTTGTTGTTGTTGTTTTTTTGGGGGGGAGGCTTTTTTGTTGTAATTTGTGTTGGTGTGTGTGTGTGTGTGTGTGTGTGTGTGTGTGTGTGTGTGTGTGTGTGTGTGTGTGTGTGTGTGTGTGTAGATGTGTGGGTGTGTGTGATAGCCTGTCCGTTCGAAACGTTTGGAGTCCCGAAGAGTGTGCTCTTCAAGAGAGTGCTCTTCGCCAGGGCCACCACCTCTCTTGGGTAGCGTGTAAGGCAGTTCAACCTCCCTGAATCCTCCCTAAAGAGATGCCACCGCCGAACCTAAGAGGAGGCGCATCTCTGCAGAAGGTGCTCCAAATCGTGGGGCCACTCGCTCCACAATGGACAGATTGGGTCCGATGTCTATTCTATTTTTGTGGGCCCGCAGCCCAGAGAAGTGACCGGTCCTGATTTTTGCCACTAGTGACTAGTCACTGCTGGACTTAATTTGAGCCTCCCGTTTTAAGGAAATGGCTCTGCATATTTCCTTCGTCCACGTGTGGTTTTAATTTACGGTGTTAATTGTGTTGTTGTTGTTGTTGTTGTTGTTGTTCAACGCAAAATGCTTATTTCACATCATACCAGCATGGAGTGTTAGTATGATTCCCATGGTGATTTTGACATGGCAACAGAATTTGAAGTCAAATACGCATTATTTTGGGGGCTTTACTGGAATTTTGTCTAACCCATCATTCCACTCAATCCTGAACAGAAGAAAAAAAAAAGAAAGCAGACACGAAAGCAGACGACAGAACATGATTAGAGAGCATAAAAATGGGTGAACGCAGAACGCCACTAGACAGAGAGTGACTTGCTTTTTCCAGAGGCCAAAGGATCTAGCTTCAAAATATTTTGAAATAAATATTATGTGCAAAAGTGCAACGAGTCCTTTGATATCATGAATCTCTACACCCTAAAACTTTTAAAAAATATTCATTTTAAGCTACATTTTCTTTGTCTATCTCATACATGCTAACAGAAAGACGATAACATTTTTGTTCCGCATTCCTTACCACTTTAATCTGAGTCAGTTTACAAGAAACGTAATCAACCTGAGTTTGAAACCCAAGAAAACTCTTGTCGGATTGTCAGTTTTAGCGCTTAAGAGATTGCTAGCACTGTATATATGGCTTTATGATGAAGGTTGTATTTCGCCTCAATGTCTGATGACTAGAGCTCTTTCAAATTACCAGCATGAAGCTGAGATTTTTGTTGTTGATAGTTTTGTTTGTTTGTTTGGGAGGGGGTGTTCTATTTTAAAAAGTTCTTTACCCGAATTATTCCAAACATGGTCTGCATCAGACACGTAAAAACGATTACAATTATTATGTCCCCACCCTGGAGCACCTGTGGCAGAAATATGCTGTGCTAGAGATGAAGACAGTAACAAAAACGTACGACGATACTTCGTCCATATATCCACTATCCAGGCTAAGAAGCAAGAGAAACACAACATGTCCACCCGCCCTCAATCATAAGCAGCTGACACAAGTAGCAATTATTTTAAGAAAAA